TCATAGACATTTTTTTATTCTACTCTGGCTGCTCTTTCTCCCAATATCTTAGACACCTTGAATCCTTCCATTATAGAGAATTGATTTCACTTTCCATTCAGGAAAATAACTTGTTTTCTGAAATTCACATTTTTAAAGTTTTTTTCCAATTAATGATGTATAATTAGTTTTTTTAGTGATTTATAACTAGTAAGATTTTTAAAAATTTAATTGAGGAAATATTTTAACTTTTTTTTCAGGGAGTAATACCAAAATAAAAATGGCATTAAAAAATAGTAGTGTTTAAAGGGGCTCATTTAAAACAGTGCCTGTTTAATGTAGTGGAATTTAAATGGCATGCCTAAAAAGAAAATATGTACAAAGTCTTTGAATAGCATATATTTTGAACTTCCATAGGTATGGTGACTGCCTTACTGAATTATTTTATTGGTTATGGTATTAGAATTGTGGGATTAACTGGTAAAATATCATATTCTAGTTATCAACATTTCAGTAGTACTTCTCAGTTTGAAAGACTTCATCATTTTGGCATGGCCCTTTCTTGGAGACCTTCTAAAAAAAATCCTAATATAGTTATAGCCAAAATTCCCCTAAGTACCTCTGAAATCACTGTAAGGATTACTGACAGTTGATTCAGGATCTTTCTTCCTCATAATTTAAAATGTAATGCATAAAATGAAACCATTACATTTAGAATAAATGGGTCCAAAGGTATTATTTATGAACAGTAGGATATTTCTTAACACATTTTCTTGGTTAACTCTTAAACAAAACCATATGATGTAATTTATAATTGCCTCTAAGGTTCATCACTGATTTGTTGCTTACTATTTGAGTTGAATTGTAATGGAGAATGGTTATTATTACACAGTAAGCAGACATAGATGAATTAAAACTGTCTAAAAACTCTTGCTCTTCCAAACAAACGTGTAAGGTCTTTGTATGTGTCTTGGACAACAGGGACTTTCCCCTCCCTACCAAAAGAAAAAAGAAAAAAAGAATCTGGTTTTAAAAGTGCCTATTTCCCTACCCCTAAATAAAATTAAATGAGAGAGAAAGAGAGAGTCCTTTTCAAAGGTATTAGGAAGAGGGAGGAGTTGAATCTTCTCTCTTCTTTTCCTATTATTGGTAATATAAGATCAATTCAAAATGAAACATTCATTTAAGTCCCTGATTTTTTAATTTTTCAGAAATACCTGAGTCTGAATAAGCCATAGAGAGATTGTCTGAAATTCACTGGGAACATGTGGATTTTTCAAATTAAGCTAAGCTAGCTTAGCCCAGACATTCTTGGTTCTTTTCCTACTTGAAATGGGCATTGTTATGTTGAAAAGCAGTATGATGAGTATTCCAGGTATACAGGTTAGAAGGAAGGAATGATCTTTTAAATAAACAATAAATGTTTATTGAATTAAATTGTTTTTAATAGCTGGCCCATGGCTAGTTGCTCCATGTCATCCATATCATTTTTCATGGAGCCTGTAACATAAAGGTAAGGAGGGTGGTTCCAGTCTCCCCTCCTCTGGCCAGTGGTATACATCCTACCTCTGGTTTATTTGGGAGGATGCGGTTGCTTATAAAATCTGATTCTGTAAAATGATTAGAAGCTATGAATTACTTTTTTTAAAAATTTTAATAGCAATTAAGATGCATACAAATTTGTGATTATTTTATGTTTATTTGATTTTATCTAAGCATTGCCAAAAAACAGAACTACAAGTTCTCTTACCTAGTGGTCATATGACAGAAAATTTTTAAATCTTTGTTTAAAAAAAATTAGAAGTTGCACTTGTTTAGGCTGTGTTTTTTCTTTGGGTTGTTTTTCAGCAAAATTCAAAGTGTACGAAAAATTAATTGTAATAGAATTGTAATGTTGTCTATATACTTTCCTAAACAAGGTAAGGAATTGAGGGTTAGTTTAGGAATAATCATTTTACACATATCAGTCACTTAGTGGAATAAATATAACTATCAGAATGTTATGCTTGAAAAAATGTTGGGCAATGAATAGAATAAAAATTACATTTGATAATGTGGCAAATCTTTTAAAATTACATATTTGGAGGAATAGAGTAAAATGCTCAAAATAATAGTAATACTGTGCTATAGTCCAAAATTATTTTTCATGCTAAAAATATTGGAAGTGGAATGTGATAACACCACCTTTGGCAGTGTAATAGTTGTCTTCACCCTGTCTCCTGTGACGTTCCTACTCTAGAGGTAGCAATCACTAAAGACTTGGCAGATTGGCCAGCTTTTCAGTAGCCCCAGATTGCCATGCATTAGTTTTAATTTTTTATGCTTTTATCGTCCCTAGAATTTGCCTCATTTCAGTTATGTTTTTCTGAACTAATAATGGTTGGTTAAATATATTCTTCTATGAGATGAGCTAGTAGCATATAAAGTTAAGGAATAAAACATCCAGTCCTAGGCACAATGACGCCTCTGGAGCAGATGGTTATCTATCAGACCTCAACTGGTTTCCAAATATGTTAAAATTAGTAGTTTATACTTTTTAATTGCTAAACCCAGTAGCTTTTTCTCAGTTTTCACCCTTCTTGCCTTTTCTGCAACATGTGACAGTTGGCCACCCCCCTTCAGTCCAGAAACTCTCTTCTTCCTTCAGTTTCTGTGACGTTGTACTCATCTGATTTTCCTCCTACTTATATGATTGTTTCTTCTTAGTCTCTTTTGATGAGTCATGTACGTGTTATAGTGGACAGATAATTGGACTTTGGGTCGGGAAGGCTTAGTTTGAATCCTGCCTCAAACACCTGTTATCTGTACAACCCATAGAAAGTCACCCAACCTGTCTCCACCTCAGTTTCCTCATCTGTAGAATATGGGGGCATTAGTAGCACCTATCTCCCAGAGTTGTTATGAGGATCAAATGAGATAATTTCTGTAATGTGTTTAGCAAACCTTAAAAATGGCTATATAAATGCTAGTTTTCCTTCCTTCTGCCACCTGAGGAAGGGTTTCTGTCCCCGCAGAGCTCTGTCCTCAGCCCTTCTCTCTCAGTAAATCTCACCTGCTGCCTTGACTTTGATCATGACATCTATGAGATGTATCCCAAGTCTGGATGCCAATCTCCGTCGGTTCCCTGAGCTTTAGTCTTGCTTCTCTAGCTGCCTATTAGACATTTCTACCCAGATGCTCCAGTGGCACTTCAGACTCCTGCTCAAAACCGAAATCAGCCCTTCCCCTCAGTATGCCTTCCTGCTAACCCTGCAGTTTTGCTGATGACATCACCATCTTCCCATTCACCAAGATTTGAAACATCTGAGTTATCTTTGACTCTTCCCTTTTCCTTAATCTTCAGTCTGTCAGTTGTGCCTCTGTAATATCTCTTACCTCCTTCTCCACCTCTCTCCTCCCTCTCTCTTTTATGCTGCCTCTAATCTGCCCCTCACACATCCAGCAAAATCATCTTCCTAAGGCACAGGTCTGATCATGTCCTCCCTGTGCTCAAAAACCTTCAATGGCTCCCTTCTACCTATGAGAGAAAACACAAGCCTGCTGCTAATCTGGCTGCCACCCAGCCTTCCAACCTTTCCCACATTCTCTCCTACGTTCTCCATTCCAACAAGACTAAACTATTCATTGTTCCCCAGTGTTGCTTTCTCTTTTCTGCCTCTGCACATAGACTATCCTCCATGCCTCGAAGTGTGCTTCCTCCTCAGTTCTGACTTAAGTCATTTGCTTCCCTCGTTACCGAAGGGCTCAGGTGCCACTTGCTCTAAGAAGCCGAGAAGAGTTGCCTTACTTGCCTCCGTCATATTCTGCCTTGTGTCACTGATTAGTGTTCCCCTTAGTAACTGTAAACAGCTTTAGGGCAGATTCTGTTATTTTTCATCTTTGTGCCCCAGCTAATACATACAGTGACTTGGACGTAATAAGAGCTTAATAAATGTTTAGTGGATTGAATTACTGATTTATGACTGTACTGATGGGTTCAATGCTAAACGATGTGTGTTCACATTATTGATGATTACTGCCCTCATTACAGACCCTAGTACAACAAAATTATTTATGTTCAACTCAGCAAAGTGTTACTAATTGTCAGATACTAGCAATTCCCGGAGTGTGCTATAATGTATAGGATTGGAGAAGCTAGTCCCCTCTAGTCGGTTGGGAGGAGCCAGGGACAAGATAATGACTACAAAAGCCACTGAACTCGGAGGATTGTTTTTTAGACTGGCTCTGTGATTGAATTCATGAATCCCTTACATTGATAGTTTATTTTAGAAGTGTGGAAAGAGCGTTCAGCTGAGCATCGGGAGGCCTGAGTTGAGATCCTCAGGTTGCACGGTGTGGCCGCGGAGTCATTATGGAACCTTCTACCTGTACTTGAATTCCTCTTTTACACATTGAGAATTCCTCCCCTGTCCCATGTCATAGGGATAGGATAATAAAATGAAATAAGTGAAACTACATTGAGTTCTTAGAAAGAGATTTTTATTAACCTAGTTACTATTATAAAACCTTCTCTTCATTATTTGCATTTGTTAGCTATTCCATTACTAAAAGTAGTTGAAACTATAGACCTGTTCATCATGACAAAAAGAATGTAGCCAAGGGGCAGCTAGGTGGTGCAGTGGAGAGAGCACCGGCCCTGGAATCAGGAGGACCTGAGTTCAAATCCTGCATCATATACATAACACTTAAGTAGCTTTGTGACTCTGGGCAAGTCACTTAACCCTAATTGTCTCGCCCAAAAAAAAAAATGTAGCTGAGCAAATTATTCTCTAGTTTTCAACTACTTCCCCTTCATCAATGTGGATTATTGAGATTCGGTTTTATTCTATTATATAGTCACGGTATAAATTGTACAATGTATCATTATGAATATGATCTGCTTTTAGTTTTAAATGAACCGTGTTACTACTTTGTGTCTATGTAGTACAACCCTAGCCTGTTTTCAAGTGAGATTACTTCTCTGTGTCTCCTGGCTATTTCAGAACACTTTTGTAAAATTAGCTCTTGTCCTCCCTCTACAGGAGAATTTGCCGCCTTCAAGTAGCCACACCATCATGGCAGCATCTACTCTTTATTATTTCTTAAGTCTTGTGTTCCTACAGTTTCTTAACATCAAAACTCAGTTCTGTTCCTCAAAACCTTTTTTAAAGATACAGAAATTTCAGTGCATAAGCTAGAGTGGAACAGAATGAAATTTCCCCTCCAACAAAAGAGGGAAGACTATTTTAGGAACCAGAACTCTGTGCTGCCAGTGTTTCTTCTTCAACAGACACCACGTGCACTAACCACGCCTGCCCACTCCCTGGAGGAGAGAGGAGAGACCGTGCGTTCTGACCTTTGGGGGTTCAGGCAGGATGGGAAGGAACTGCTGCTACGGCTTGGGAGATTGGCTATGGAAAGTCTGCAGATCAACTTTTCTCCTTCTAACCACCTGGCCAATAAATGGCAGATCATCTGATGGGGCAATTCCAATCACAAGAATCATTCCTTTTTCTGTTTTGGGATTTTGTCATGGGTTTTTTTTCCTCCTTTCCTGGTGTACCTTTTGAGAGCTGGAACAAAAATGCAGTATAGCCCTTTCAATGTTATGTATGTCCAATATTCATCCATATTTTCAGATTTATCCCCCAAAAAGATAATTTTTTTATTGGGAAGGGGTACAGGAACACTGTGCAGCTGGGTCAGGAAAAAAAGGGAATACAGCGTATTTTTTTCCAGGTCTACTCTGGTATCTCTTCTATTTCCTTTCCAAACTATCGCGTGTGGCTCAGTGAGGGTGCCTTCTAAGCAGGCTAGAATATGTTCACACACACTGGGTCTTTCTCATTGGTCCAGCCACCAAAAAATGCTTGTTTGTTGTTTAATATGCCAGGTCCTCAATGTACGTCCATTGAGACAGTACTATGAATTTAATTTTTAAGGTCAGTCAATCAACAAATATTTATTGAGTGCCTATTGTGTGTGAGGCACAAGATACCACCGTGGTATCTGACTGTAATTGATAAAAATTATTTGATAAAGGATATGATTGATAAATGGTTTTATAAATTGAAAATTAAGGTACATATTTAACACTGAGTACCTTCCCAGTATGGATTATTAAATAATGAAAAATAATTCTCAGGGTGAATTGAGTCACAATAAAATACAGCACCTTCCCCTGAATCAGACATTCTGAAAGTGGTATTTGGGGTATGGAATGATTTTTTTAAGAAGGAAAAGAAAGATGGGGATTTTTATCACCTTATATGTCCTTTAATAAGTTTGTATACTTATGGGGAAGCTTGTCATAATGACAAGTGTTTACATCATTTTTATTAATGGTTCTGGCTGGATCTACACTAACACCTTGTTTCATTTCTTCCCACTCTCTTTTGCTCTGCCGAGTTTTCTCCTTTATCTAGTTTGCAACCTAAAATAAAAATGGTGGTGTGTGCATTAATTTTCCTTCTTCCTTTCTTCTCAAGCCTGGTCTTCAAAAGGTTGGTAACTTTGGAACTAAGTTTCTCAGGGAACATATAGAGTCACAAATGAAGATGAGAGGAATTGCAGGAGGATGTTTTGATGTGCTCAGTTTGCAGAATTTTGATGCTAGATATCAGTTATTTGTTAGAAATAGATGCTGATGAGGTTAGAGAAATCATTACTCTATCTCAGCATAAAACAGAAATGTTACCCACTCACAGCATCTTTCATTCTTTTTCTGAAGGTGAACACTAATCATAATAGTAGTAAAGAAAGTGATTGTGTGTGAATGGTCTGGTTAAATTTCCCCCTAATGATAATACAATCATTCACTTAGGTGTAGGAAAGAAAATTAGTTGTACAGTAGGTTTAACCAGCAAAACACAAGAGGCCAACAACCTGCATGAAATTGGGCACAGCCTAAAATAAATCAGGGAACAAGAAAATAATACTTTCATTTCAAAGTATAGCTTATTGCACTCACTACTCCTATACTCCTAGCTACTTAAGCTCACTGCTATCTGATGCATTTTTTAAAAAATATTTCCAAATATAGGATAGCCAGCTGGAAGTTTTATGGAGTGGTCAAAATTTACCGCTCGCAAAGTAGATAAAGCTCCAAATGTTCAGGAATGAGTAATCAATTTGAAATGAAATGTATTCTTAATTATTCCAATCCGTATGAACAAAGATATGTGATATAGAAATGGCTGAGACTGAGAATGATTCTAACTGGCATGTTTCTTGTGTGTGTGTGGTGTATCCTCTTTTCTTCAGATGTTGTGTTTGGTTTTTATTTTTAGTATATAAGCTTTGTCCCCACAGATGCTGTATAGGGTTATTTTCCTCTTAGATTATTGTACAGTTTCTTTCCCAGGGTGAAAGTGAGCAACAGTAAGTTTATTCAGTGCTCCTTTGAAATAAATAGAACCTGCTGGAGTGATGCTGAATCAAGGACTACCTCAGCAAATAAATACAGGGAAAGGAGCTGCTTATGGAAGAAGCTTAGAGGGTCATATTTGAGATTTTACACACTTCAGAGATGCTGCTTTTTACTTCCCCTTCATTGGGTTGCCATCTTATTTGAAAAGAAAAAAGGGAACTTGACTTGTATAAGCTGGCTTTAAAATGAAGATGAGTCCAGAGTCCAAAGCTCAGGGTATCGTTGAGTGATTTCAGGTCACTTTTTTTTAATCCCTTTTTCACTTCCATTTAATTTTTTTTAACACAACTGTTCCTTTTCCACTTCTTTCACTCAGTCTTAAAAAGGGTTTCCTTTGCTTTTCTTTTGCTTTATTATTTGATGTTTCAGACTCTAAATAGACTAGAACCTGTAAGTTCCTAAGAAAAATACAAGGAAACAGTCCTTGTTTGTGCAAAGCACTTTATGAATAATGCAATGTAATGTGCACATTATGTAGCTGCTTTATTAATGATCTTTTAAGGTTGTGATTCTGCTGCCTTACTAGTTTGCTTTTCATATGGTGGCTGCAGTGCCTTCATCTTATTTTTGGTCATGCTAGGTGAATAAAAGTTAAAACCTTTTGAAAAACTGGGAACAACTGCAAAGGATTCAGTTTTAGGCTTGATGTTCTGATTCATTCATTCTTCAGTATCCTGAACATTTACTGAATATTAAAATAATATTCATCAGGAGATTAATGTTATGAGGTTTTATGGAAAAAAAAAGAAAAAAAAGCCCAAAGTGATCATCTGTACTGCATCCCCTTCTGTAAAGGGCCTAGATGTGGAACTGGTAAGCAAATTAGCTGTCAAATACTGTTACAGGAACCTGTCAGCAAATGTGAGACTTAGAGCTCAGGAACTCATAGCAGTGATACTTTTTACATTTACATTGAGATTGTGGAAGAAAATCATAGTGCCATGTAACTTTAAAAATACTACAACAACCTCAGTAGCGTGCTCTTCCAAAACCCTGGAAATGCTCCCCCAGCTCAATCTGGGCACCCACAAAAAGCCACTGTTGTAGGCCCCCAGGCAGATCTCGTTCTGTTTCCATGCGTATATTTTCATCTCAGTGCTTGATGCTAGCAGGATGTCCTACAACGGATAAGATGAATAAAAGAGAACATCTCTAATTTGGAATATGTTGATATTCTCAATACATTCATTGATGTGTTCATTCAGATGATCCCTTACTTTTGTAAAGTAGAAGTTGTTTCAAATATCCCAGGCCTAGGACTCATATGAATAAAGTGAAGATTTCAGTTTTATCCCAAAGGGCAGATAGTACACACTTTTGTACTAACTATTGAAAAGATGTGGAAAGGTCATATTCATTGAAAATGGTGCAAGAATGGTACCAAGGAAGGCCTGATCTGTTTGGGTGCTGCATTTTGATACTTTTACCCCTAAGTCTGTTGTATGAAGGGAAAGGAAGAAGGGAAGGGAAGAAGCATTTTTCAAAGTGCCTACTATGTGACAGGCACTGTGCTATAATAAGCTCTTTACAGATAGTATAAAATAGATGATGTGGCATTACTTTTATTAACACTGATTTGATTTCAGGAAGATGGCTTGCTAGAAGCACATATTCTGTGTTAGCTTCAATTAGTCTCCAAACTGTCACATGTGCAGAAAAAAAATTAAATAAATCTTTATCAAATATTTCACTAGCTTTTTACCTAGGCAGACGAGCCACGAGAGCAGGTTTTGCAGACATTTTGGAAAACATCCTTATTTTTCCAAGTTGCCATTTTAGCACCTAGCAAGTCAGCACCTTGAGAATGACAAATGGGCATAAATGTATGGCAGTGGAAGACCTTTTTTAAAAAACTAGCTAGAGATGCTAAAGGGACAAAGGCAAACTAGTCAATGACAAACAATGTGCTCCTTGACGTTGAATGAAAACCTCTATTCAAGGCCCTAACATGACACTGCATGCGAGGCTCAAGTAGTTACCTTTACAATTTGCCAAATGATCTCACTGTGCCTTTGTGATGCAATAAAATCTAAAATATAGCAGAAATACTCTTTCATGAGAGCAGTGACTTGGGTTTTAATTGCTGTTCCTTATTATTTGGATAAAACAGCATGGACATTATCCCCCCTGCCCCCTCAAAAAAAAAAAAGCATCTTCTTCAGATTTTGTAACATAAACCAGAGATTAAAATGAGAGAGCCCACTAATGGATTTTTGCATACAAAAAAAAAGTTGGATTTTTGAATTTTTTTAAATAGAGCCATTGGATTAAAAGTAGATTTGCAGCATTTTTGGAGAAATTATTTCTATTCCCTTTCCTATTCCCATGAATGTTTTGCACACTAGAAATGTTGGGTGGATGTTTGAGGAAAAATGAAATTAGTTAAGAGCATACGTGTGAACTTTCTGCAGATAGTCTTTGTGAGAAATGAAAAAGTATAATATGGGACAGCATTTTAACACCAACTGTTTCTAGACTACTGCTGCAGTTGGTAGAATATTCCACCCAGTGTCTAAATTTTGTAAAGCCACCTAGTCTGTACCACCAGGTGAGGACCTCCCTCTTGGGATTCAGCCTCCTTAGGACTTTGCAAACTAGATAGGACTATGTTACTAACACTGTTTGTATAATCTGTGAGAGCCAGATGGAAAGGGACTTTCCTGTGTGGGCAAAAGATGCAGCTTTCCCAAGAGAATGGTCTTTGATAGGTGAATAAGATTGGGCAACATAGTTTAGCTTCTTAGATCTTTCTTCCCTTTCTCTGCCCAAACTCTTCTTCCCTTCTCTTGCCCCAAAGAAAGAAAAAAAGCCTACAACATACTACTTAGTTATTGGGTTCTTCAGTAGAACCCCTTCTTAACACATTTCATATATAATGGCAGCCTGTCTGATTTTACCAGCAATGGCATATCCCTGACTAGAGTATAATGGCACATCCACTGTGTTCATTTTCTCACTTCTAGCTTCAGTAGAATTTTAAATGCTGATGTAGTTTGTGATATATCAGCACCTAAGGAGGTAATCTTTATTCTTTTATTCTTTTCCTGTGGTATGTCCCTATCAGATTCTAGCCCACGCATGCACAAGTGCGCACGTACATACACACACACACATACACACACACACACACACACACACACACAATTTTGGCAGAGACTAATTATTCTAGAATGATATCAGTCATAGTAAAAAGCAATAACAGTTCCTATAAAAAGTATTGAAGAAGGTGAGCAGGACAGAGATTTAGCTAGTTCTTAAATCAGGATTGCAGTGATTTTTTTAAATTTTTAATCATGGGTAATTACGTCTTTGAATTAGTCCCCACCTCAGAAAAGACATGATTAAAGCAGAGCCCTTTTCTAAATGCACAATTGTTACAATAGTCAGTTTAGGTCTGCTTTTTGTATTGCTTTTAATTGTTGGTTAAATAAAATGGTTTGTGGGGTTACTTTTTTTAAACTCTCTTTGACTGTCATAATGGTCAAACCAGTTGTGCCTGTAGATACATCCAAGTGTGTTTCCTTTCTCTTTTTTTTTTTGTGATGTTGGGTGTGATATTTTTGTTTTATGTGTGTTTTATTTCTTTTAAAGAAACAACCTTTTGTAGTAGAAGTACTCTTGCCAATAAAGAATGAAATATTTGTATTACTAGAGATTTGTTCCAACCATCTGATCACCTTGGCAGGCTAGACACCTTGTCCAATCCCCACTCCCTGTCTAACATGTTTTAACCATAGTTTAAGAAAATCAGGCATGAAATTTGCATCTGACATAGAGGAAAACAAAGCAAAAGAATGAACATCTTTCCTTTTTTTATTGAGGGAGGGGTAAAGTTAGTTAGGTTGGGGGTGTTTTGACTAATATCCTGTGTTGCATTTGTATATGTTAAACCCTGTTTGAACACGTGTGTGTGTGTGTGTGTGTGTGTGTGTGTGTGTGTGTGAGTGTGTGTGAGACTTAGGAGGAAATTTCAGGATAGCTTAAGCATTGAAATTCAATCTGGGCACAAATGTATGGAAAACGGACCAAACTTGGGTGGTGAGTATTTAGAGGGACTGGGGAGGGAATAGTTACAGGGACAAGGATATGGTGATGAGGGTGGGAAATAAATTATAATTATCTGAAATAAAATGTAAGAGTGCAATAAATGTGCTTTTTATTCAAAGCTGTGAAGTTTAAAAAAAAAATCCTACAAAACACACCATTCCTTCCTAATCCTTTTGTGTGCTCCTTACCTGATTGAAACCAGCTATTTAAACTTAAGCCTTTTTGTTCTTGTTCATTTCTAACAAATGTTCAGCCTACATGTCTTATTATTTTCATGTTCTATCATTAGTTTACAGACTTGTACATATATAAGCTATGTTTTTACATTATTTGAAAACGTATTAGATCCTCAGTGTATCCCTTTGTTCTACCATGTAATGACCTAATGGTCAAACTTGGTCTCCATTAACACCATCTAGATTTGAAGTATTAAATCTCAGTGTTGTGTGTATGTGATGATCTCATGTGTCAGTTTGCACACTTTGTCCTTCCTTTCTTTGCCTCCCTCTCCCCACTGACCCCCTCCTCCCAACTGAGCTGATTCTCCTAGAAGGATACAACTGATCTTTCTCCCCACATGGGGAATTCAATTCCACTGTTCTGTTGACATATTTCCCTTGGTGTGTCACATTCAGTAGTTTAGCTGAAAAGATAATTGTGGTTGTTATTTGGTTTGAACAGTGTGAAAGAGAAAGCTTCCTTCGTCCTTCCTTTTTCATACATATCCTGGATTGAAGACAGCTCCAATAGGGAGAAGAAGGGGAAAGTCTTCATTTGAATGACCCTTCCCACCCTATTACTCTAAATTATGTAGTAACATATGCAAGCCTTCCTCTCCACTGTGTTACTGCCAAAGTTTGGAGAGGGTCCTATAGAATTTGTGGTATATAGGCATTGAAAATTTGGGGTCTTTTCATAATTGTCCATAGATATCTATATCTGCTTTTGCAGAAATCACAAGTAATTTTATTTAACTTTTTTCAAGTCAGTCATAAAAAAAAAAAACACCTCAGATTGGTGACATTCCCTTCCTCTCCTCTTGTCACAGAGTGATTGCTTGTTCAAATTACTTTTCTGATTCCCACTCCCTTTCCTTATATCTGGGTCCCCTTTCCTACTCAGGTCCCTTCATTTGTACCTTGGAGTTTTTTCTCATGTAAATTTAAACAATGGGAAATATTGTTCAGTTGGTTAGAGAGCATGGAGATTTAAAACAACAAAACAACTGAAATTCAGATTGAGGAAAATTATTTCTGTGTAAAGTTATTTAAAGAACTCTGTATTATATAAAAGGCAAAAAGTTCTATGTACTTGATGTGAATATGAGAATACTGCTATAATAAAGATTGACTGCATGGAGAAGTCTTTGTCAAGGTCATTATTATGAGCATTTCATTCAGTAATAGCAAAACAGTAAATTGTCCTGTGTGTTCTCAAACAGCTTTAACAAGCAAGATTCTAAACCTGACAGCTAAGGAATTTTGATCATTATTTCATACATGATGATATTAACTGCTTCCTGATTTATATGATTTTTTTTTCTGAAATGAATTTACCAGGCTAAAGACTTGGTATGTTGTGCATGGGATGATGATGTTATTGGTAATGTAATATTTTGTAAGAGGCAATGCTGTATTTTGAACCAATTGTAATTTTGCAACTTAGATGTACCCTTTGTGTAAAGTGGCTGCTCTTAAAATTACATACTTCATCTCCAGAAGAACACCCTGTGATTGTTTTTTAATAATAGATAACATATGGCACATATTATGTGCCAGGCACTTTGCTGAGTGTTTTCCTTTATGAAAAATGGTCCTGTTGTGGAAATTGATTCATTCATTGCCAGATTGTTGAAATTTATTGAGAGAATGTTTTCAGTACAGTGTATCAGTGTGCTATGCAAAATTTCAGGAAAGAAGACAGAGTACTGCTAATGAAACTTTTATCTAACGTCTAAGTTTCTAAGAGAACAATCATTTTTAACTGAATACACCAAGTCACACAAACGATCAGAACTAAATATAGCATTCTCAAACATGATTAGATAAATGCACGATGCACAAGTAAAACTACCTTTTTGAACAAGAAAATTTTTGAACCATTGTTTGTTTAAGCAGCAATACACTGCTGGGGCTAGTAATTTCTAAATAGAAGTGCCATATTTTGCCAAGACAGCACATCATACAAGTTCACAGAATGACCTTTTTTCCTTATGAAGAGTCAATGCCAAAATGATGAATACCTCTTGTTTGCATCTGAGGTTCAGAGAAGTTTCAGTGACTTGCCTAAAAACAAACCAGTGGTATCAAGTCTTCCTGACTACAAATCTAGCACTCTATTTTTGTAATGGTGTTTCCAGTGTGTGTGTGTGCACGCGCACATACGTATACTATTTGAATAGGCAAGAAATAAAGCACATCATCACGTCCCGTGCTGGAGCTGGGTGCCTTGCCAGGCCTGCCCCACAAGACTCCTTCCTCAGATTTTTAGGATACTACATACTACACAGTATCTAAAGGAGTCAATGAGAGTGGCAAAAGCCAGAGAGTCTTCTGTATCAGAGAGAGCAAGCTGTACCCCCAACTCAAAGACAAATGGCTACGAAAGAAGCCGTGGCTTTACTGTTCAGCTTTCCTAAGTGGCAGCCCATGCTAGTGTATTTGTAGATGGCCACCTATGTTCATCTCCTTAGCGCAGCTTCTGAGATGAATGGATTTTGTGAAATCCTGTACTGTTTGCAGTGCCTTCTTATGTCATCCTGTAATCTTCACAGTATAGGTGCTGACCTGTGTTTGTTTTCTGGCTTCAGATCGAGTGTTCTTCATAGTAGATCATTACACTCTAGTCGGGGCAGCGAGGTGGCACCACGGAGTCAGGAAGATCAGCATTCAGATACGGCCTCAGAGGTTCACTAGGTATGTGACCTTGGGCAAGTCATGTAACCTCTGTTTGCCTCAGTTTCCACAAATGTAAAATGAGAACCCTTACCTCACAGAGCGGTTGTGAAAATCAAATGAGATATTTGTAAAGTGTTTAGTATAGTACTTGGCACGCAGTAAGCGCTATATATAATGCTAGCTTAGGAGGAGGATTTTCCAAAAACCAGATCCAGATTTACTATAGTGGAAAGCAAGTAGGAGTCATGGGATCAGAGATATAGAACTAGAAGGGACCTTTGAGGTGATCTAGTATATCCTTATTTTTTTTTTCAGACGAGAGGTTAAGTGATTTCCTTATGGTCACCCAGCAAGTAGCAGAACATCTGAACTCAGATCAGCTAACTCCCAACCAGCTGCTTCTACAATCCATTCTCAGATATTTGCTCAGGGCTACCCCTACTATAAGGGCTTCAGGTCATATGCAGCACTTCTTAAACTGTGGACCATGACCCCATATGGATAGTTTAAGAAGCGCTGAAGGGGTCGCATATGAAAAAAGTTTTAAGAAGCCCTGGTATAAAGGATGTCCCAAAAGTCTTGGTGCCATTTTAAGTTTTAATAGCTTCAAGGTATGATAATAGTTCATTAATAAGCCATTAAAGCTTAAAGTAGCACTGAGACCTTCAAGAAATCCTTGTATTTCTCCCACCTTTCATAAACACATCCTCTGTTGGTGCTCTTCATCCATCCTTCATACATACATACATTCTTTGTCACCATTCCTTCCAGATGTGTTTATGCACCAACCCCTCTACCCAACTAGAAAGCTAGAAAAATTACTCCTGTTAATAATATCCCTTGGCTAACCCATTTTTATTAAACATGTGAGTTTTCTGTCCCTATGCATTCTTACTAGAAACAAATTTACTCATTGCTACCATGAAGATATAGCTTGATCTTCAGTCCCAGTGACATTGTGAACACTTCTGCCACCTCTCTGTTCAGCCACTAATGGCTTCTTTCATCTGTAGAACTCCACCCCTTTGTGTCTCATTTGTAGTTCTAAAATCCTATAATCCTGCAAATGTGCAGGTAACTGCAAGAGTAGAAAAGATATTTGACTCTACTTCCCTTTTGGGTACGTCAGTGTCCTGGGCCTCCCTGCCTCCCTCCCTGGTATGTTTCTCTATGCTAAGGTTAACTACCCTATCGGTGTTCTCAATCTCGTTTCTTCCATGAGTTTGCTCCACTGATATTTGCCCTCTCTTATCTTCGATACTAGCTTTTTCTGCTGTATACAGAAATGCTCAGGTATAACCCATTCTGAAGACTACCCTCAAGCTATCTTCCTATAACTTTTTTTTAACCACTTTTGTATACTGGTTGCCCCTCAATCCCTGGCAGTCTGGTTTCCAACCCACCATTCACCTGAAACTGCTCTCTGAAGTTACCAGTTAATTCCGTGGTCTCATTCTCCATGGCCTCACTCAGCTTCTGATACTGTTGATCACTCTTTCCTTCTCCTAGGCCAGGGTTTATTTAACTTGAGCCCTGTGAACTTCAATAACTAGTTCAATATAGAATTGGTTTCCTTTGTAATCCTATGCATTTTATTTCATACATTTAAAAACATAATGCTGAGAAGGGGGTCCATAGGCTTCACCAGACTGACAAAGTGGAAATGACCCAAAAAATGTTAAGGACCGGTACTGTACTCTTCCTTCGGCTTCAAAGACACTGCTCTTTGTAAGTTCTGACCTTTTCAGTCTCTTCTTAAATCGTCATTCATTCCTCCATCCCTCTTGATACGGCTGTTCTCAGGGCTCTGGATGTGGCCCATTTTTTCTCCAACACATGCTCAGTAGTTCCCGTGGGCTCATCTCTGCAGCTGACTCTCAGATCTATACATCCAGCATTCATCTTGGTCCTGAAGCACAGTCATAAGGGAAAACTGCTACCTATCCAAAACAGAACTCATCTTCCCCACCTAACCCTGCTCCAGACTTCTTTTGGGAGCACCACCATCTTCCCACCCATCATCCTTGACTTTCTCTTTTGCCCCCCATAGTCAATCAGCTGCTAAGTTTTGCGATTCTACCTCCTCCTCATCTTTCACTTCAGTCCCTTTATCTCCACTCATACAGCCTTCACCTTCGTTTAAAGCCTCACTCTCTCTTCACCTAGACTGTGAGGATGGCCTAACTAGTTTCCCTGCTTTCAACCTTTCCCCTCTTTAAGGCAACCTCCCCACATATCCCCAAGATAATTTTAATAATTTTACTACATTATTTCTCTGCTCTCCTATGTTGAGTAGTTTCCCACTGCCACTAAGACAAAAAGAAATTCCTCACCTAGCATTCAAGGCTTTCTACAATCTGACTTCCATCCATTTTTCCAGATGTATTTCATACTGGCCCCTCACAAACTACTTTGTAGCCAAAGTGTATTACGAAGTCATTCAACAAATTTAATATTCCATCTCCTTTTTCTATACATTTGTACAAGGTCTTAATCATTCCTAGAATGTTCTCCTCCCACTTCTTAGAATCTTTCAATCTCCTCTGAAGCTTTCCCTCATCCCCCCAATCATTCTTGCCATTGACTCCATTTTCCTTACACTAATTTATGGATATGTTGTTTTTCCCACAAGTAGAACATAAGCATTTTGAGGTCAGAGACCATTTATTTCTTCTTTGTGTCCTCAGGCTTTGTATCTGCAGTGCCCTGGTGTTTCTCAGATTGAATCAGGTCCGTGGAAACAAGCAGATGTGTGTGAATATAACTACAGAAAATTGAGGCATTGAGACAAATTTCCACCAGCCCCATTCATCCAGGAACAAAGTGAAAGGAATCCACAAATCTCACCACTTAATGCCTTTTTGTAACCACTCTTTCTTACAGGCCTCTCCTCATTAAGAGAGAACTTTTTGCAAGATAAGACTTTCTACTTATAAGCTAGTAACTGCCAAGTAAGCCCTTACTAATGATTTCAAAACCCTCCTGGAGGAAGGAAGACACTCGGTGAGAAAGCCTGAGCAAAGCTCTGACAAAGCTTGATAGTTCAAGAAATGCTGATTTCTGAGAGAAGGGCCTAAGGAGGAACACAGTATTTAGATCCATCAGGCATTCATTTTACAGCTGAAGAAACTGAGGACCAGAGTAGTTAACTGACTTGCCCATTGTCCTAGTCAACAAATGCTTGTTGACTGTTCACATGGGTAATAAGTAGTAGGGTCAGGATTCAAACCCAGGTCCCCTGACTCCAAATCCAGAACTAGACTAGACCCACCCCTTGTGATTTGCTTTTAGATTACACTTGCCTCTCCGGAGAATCCCTAGTTTACAGCTGGGATGCGGAAGGCCAGAGGGATGTAAACCTTTAACCACTGGCTGTCCAGAAAAAAAATGTCAACCCCCACACACACCCCTTCTAAGTTTAATTTGCATTAATAGAACCAGCTCCAGCACAACCCCTGACTCTGC